GAATCCAGCCAATCACAGCCCGGCACGTGTGCAGTTTACGAACTACGGCTGTTTGAAAGGTTTTCTTCCATAAAGTTAACCGATTCTAGACTAATTTGTCTCTACATTTCCGAAACACGTATAATTTTTTGGAAATACAGTAGACCCCCTATATCTCTTAGATACGTTCCACTTTATAAGAATTTTATGTTGTAGGAATCCTTAAATACATGAGCCAATCACAGCCCGACACGTGTGAAAGTTTACGGACTACGACTGTTTGAAAGGTTTTCTTCTATAAAATTAACCGATTCTAGACTAATTCCACTCAACATTTCCAAAACATGTATAATTTTTTTGGAAATAATCCGTATAAACTATGCTATAAAGCAGGGGTGTCCAACCTTTTTGTTTCTCTGGGCCGCATTGGAAGATGTCAAGGAGTTTAGGGCCACCAGCTGTAGCGTAGCGTAGGGGGCGGCACATTTTAGGGGGCGGCAAAATTTCACAATAAATAATAATAATATCCTGTAAGAATTTGAACCATTTTATTTCATATTTTCGTCCACCTACGACTCGGACTGATTGAAATGAGCACGGAATAGTGTTACCATCCATCCGTATAGTCCGGAGATATCGTGCGCAACCTGTTGACCTTTGTTTTTTTTTTTATTTGCTTTATATATATATATATATATATACGTATATATCAATGTTTTTGTATATAGTTGGCATCGCCTCTACCTATGACCTGTTGTATATAAAGAACAACAAACGCATCAGCCATTTTATTTCTCAAACAGGTAGTGCACCTGAATCTGATTTTTTTATGTACTGTATTTATAGACTTTGTTTTTTAAATGTAAATTGGCAAAAGGAAAAAAGTATATATATAATTTCAAAAAATGGCAGATTGCGAATCTGTTATAAGTCCTTTCGATTCTCGTCAGGTGTTGACTCTTCGTACAAAAATAACTTACAGTGTCGGCCATCTGTTTAATGATCTATGTGCATCTATGTGGTTCACGTATTTACTAGTTTATCAGCACTTTGTGCTGGAATTTAGAAACAGTATTGCAGGGGATCTTCTTCTCATCAGACAGATAGCTGACGCTTTGTCAACACCATTTGTCGGGATCGAGTCCGACAAACCGGACCAGTTTTTTTGTAAATATGGAAGGAGGAAGACTTGGCATCTACTAGGTACCATTTGTGTGTTGTTGAGCTTTCCGTCTTTGTTTTTGAAGTGTGTCAGCTGTTCCCACTCCCACCAAAGTGCACAGTTTGTATATTATGCAGTTTTTATTATCTTTCTGTTCGGATGGGCCGCAGTTCAAGTGTCACATTTGTCATTAATTCCTGACCTATCACCGATATCGTCGGAGAGGGTTGCATTCAATTCTCACAGGTACACATGCACAGTATCATCAAATATTTTAATATATTTAATCACTTGGTTGATGCTAGGCTTAAATTCAGAAGGGAAAAAATAGTCTTATTAGTCCCAAAGATTCTCCAGAATTTTGGCATATTGCACTTATTGTTGTTTCTGTTGGTACACTGTTCAGTATTATCTTTCATCTTGGTGTAAGAGAGTTCCATAAAAGTTCTATAAAATATACTGATAATTCAGATGGTAGTGAGAATTGTCTTATAGTACTTTTTACACTTTAATAGGTTTTTTGTTGTTAGTAAATTTTAATCTTTATGAACTAGAGGATGTGGTTGCTGTATCATCAAATGCAGTGTGTAGC